AGTACAGTACTGAATTGTTTGAACATCTGACACTATCAGGGAATGTCTAAATGAATGCATAATTTAAAAACTGAAACAAAATGTATTTTAATTCAAATAATAAATCCAGTAAACATTCTTATTTATCACTCTTTTTTCCTTATTAAAAACAAGGATATTTAAGGTTTAATCTGTGTAACAGCATTCCCTTAATTATTCTGTTATTCCCTCAATTTGTCATGGTTATTATAAAGAGGGAAGGAAGTACTATTGATTCAGTACCTCTTGGCAAGAGTTTGTAAAACAAAAACAAACTCATTTTTTTGTAGGTCGAGGGAAATAGGGACAATTCATATCAAACAGGAACTAGCCCTTATGCTTTTGTAGTCAGCTATAGTGTTTATTTTTTTGGTCTGTTTAGTGATCAAATAATTTCTACCCTACTCTAAAATTTCTTTTATCAAGACTCATTTTTTATATCAATGTGAAGTTTAAGCGTTTTTATACTATTAAATAGATGTATTTTAAAATGAGAAGGGTTTGACTTTTAAAAAAAACTTATCAAGGCAAGAAAATTCAGGATTAAAGCTGTTTCTCTTCTTAGTCTGCCAAGTTGAGCTTTGTTATTACATGTAGTATTAACCAAATGATGCAATAGCACATTTTTTTTGTTTCCCATAGCCAGTGTCAAGCATTGAGGCCAGATTTTAAAACATTTGTATCAAAGTTTCACTTTGAGAATGTGGGAGCACATTAAATCTGGGGTTTGCAAAAGGATATATGAATATTGTATATTTAACTAGATTTTAGGGAAGAACTGACAATAGCCCTGTGTCCATCATGGTTAAGATAAGATTTCTGATACTTTTTAATCTCTGTGGATTTGTGTGAAGATGAAATTTATCTTTCAGTGACATCAAATGTCATGAGTTTTCTTTCAGAACAGAGTTCCCACACTGAAACAAACATCCTCTGCCTGGACTAAAGAGCCCTGTTCATAAAACAAAAGGCAGTTTTTTTGAATGTTGGCTATTTTGAGCAGGGCGGCCCTCAGGGAGGAAAAAAACCCTTCTATTGTGTGTCCACATGTCATAACAATTGTTAGCTACAGCATCCTTGCTTACTGTTGCTGAGAAGCAGAAAGCTTGTGTTGAAGTGATGCACTTTAAAGACTGACCATCATGTTACGAACTCTGTCTAACCCTTGATACCTCTAATTTTTAAACAAAGTTTCTAACAGTTTGGCTTCAAGCTCAGGTTAGAGGTCTTAGGAAGACCTTTCCTTACAAGTGCAGGAAGACTGTACCTCATATAGAACCTAAACGTGAAATTCACAGGATGCGTGTGTGGCATGAAATTGTCTGACACACACATGCTATTTTTAAATAGTTTTCCTGTGACCTCTTGGCCAACTCTTCTATTGATCTTTGCTAACATGGCCATGAGGTCACTAACCTTATAAACCTGGGTATTTTTCTGTGTTAACATAATATATTGTTAAAAAAAGACCTAGTTTTTCACTCTTAGTGAGACTGACCTCTCTTTTCATGTGGCTGGGTGTGACTGGTGTTTGTACATTGACAGGAAACATGCTAAAACTTGCAGCTGGTAGTCAAGACTTGGTTCTATTCTGGACTGAGTCACAGACTTGCTGTATGACTGTGAGCCAGTCACTAAACTACTTTGCCAGTTACTTTTCCTGTCTGCAGATATGCATATTTTGTCTTACCAAGATGTTACATATCTTTAATATTTCTAGCATGCATATAGAAGTGTAGTATATATTAGTATTTCTAGCATGCATATAGAAGTGTAGTACCGGGTCAATTGTGAGAGGAATACTTTGTGAAGAATGGCTTGAAGTCCTTGGATAACTTTTAGTTTCTTGAATTTAACTTTTTTGTATTAGTATTATAAGACTTGTGTTCTTTGGGTTCTGTTGAACTGAAGGCAGAGGGAAACAGGAATTGTTTAACAAATGGAAATGCTCCATGGAATTTATATACACTTGGGCTACGTCTAGACTACAAGCCTCTTTCGAAAGAGGCTTTTTCGAAAGAATCTTTTAAAAAAGCCTCTTTTGAAAGAGAGCGTCTAGATTGCAACCACTTCTTTCGAAAAAGCTAGCCACCTTTTCGAAAGAGAGCACCCAGGCAGTCTGAATGCTCTCTTTTGAAAAAACCTTGTTTGCATTCAAGAATGCCTTTTTTCGAAAGAGCACTTTTGAAAAAAGGTGTTCTTCCTCATAAAATGAGGCTTACTGAGGTAAAAAAAACCCACCGTGTTCTTTCAATTTAATTTCAAAGGAACTCGGCAGCAGTCTAGACGCAGAGGAAGTTTTTTTGAAAAAAGGCCACTTTTTTTGAAAAAACTCTGTAGTCTAGACATACCCCTACAGAAGACTTGAAGTAGGGTTAAATTAGTGCTGTTCCATAAATGTTCACACAACCTACCAAACCATTGCTAAATATCGACCCCCAAAGTAGCAGCTTTGTCAGAGCCCCCACCCACTGAATGCAGACCATTCTGCTGTTTGCTGTCAGGGCAATGGTACTACCACTAACCCTGAATAACAAATGTTGATTATTTTAAGCTGTTGACAGTGGCAACCCATAAACCTAAATTGTAGTTAGCCACTGTTGGTTTTAAATGTACCAGTACTATGAGAAAACTGTATACCTAGTCATTCTTGATTAATCAGATTCTCTTTGAGGGAAAATCTTGAACTACTAATCCTTAGTTGTTTTCCTACATGCCGCTCTTCAGGGGCTACTTCTATGATAGTTCTATTGGTTGATGTTGTCAATAGGGATTTAGAGCACAATTGTCTTGAAACTAAGCAGGGCTGATTGTAGTAGTTCTTTGCTTCTCTGAATCTGGAAAATGGGGTAAGTCTGTGTGTGCTGCAAACGCACATATTACTTAATAACTGAATGGGCATAGGGATTCTTTTGCAATTAATGTTGGCCTTGCGTCAGGAACACTTCCTCAATCAGAAAAGCGTGGGAGCTTGTCCTAAGACATAACAGTCAGCACTCATGATCCTTTTAAATATGTGGTTAAGTTTCATTGAAAACAAGCACTTAAGCTGGCCTGTGAAGGAGGCTGTCCTTCCTTTGGCAGTAGCCTATTCCTAGCGATTCAGAGGGAGGTGGAAAACCCATCATAATGCTGCTAGGCAATTGTAAAGGGTTGTACTAGGAAAAAATTGTCTTCAACTGAGGTGCATATATGTGCTTGAGAGCAGAAATTCGTTCTGCAACAGGAACTTAATTAACAATTCTGTTACACAATTCAGACTGAAATTAATCTCCTCTCTTCCCCCTTGTGTTGGCTCTACAGGTGTAACAGAAGAAAAAGTTACCTATGTAACTCACTACAGTCAGCAAATACAACTGAATTCAGCTACCAGTCAGATCTGTTTAGAAGCTTGGTGTCATTTTCACATGATTGCTTTTATTACCATACCCATGCACTTATTGTAAAAACCCCTCTCTCTCTAGGAATTGCTGTTAGCAGTACACCTGCAAGATTACATACATATGTAGTAAATGAGACTTCCTAATACAGTAAAACTCCGATGGTCCGGCATCTGATGGTCCGGTACTCCTGATGGTCCAGCACCATCAGGAACCCGGAAGTGCTCCGGGCAGCCGGACCATTGGAGCTGCTCTGCCCCCTGTAAAAACCCCTCTCTCTCTAGGAATTGCTGTTAGCAGTACACCTGCAAGATTACATACATATGTAGTAAATGAGACTTCCTAATACAGTAAAACTCCGATGGTCCGGCATCTGATGGTCCGGTACTCCTGATGGTCCAGCACCATCAGGAACCCGGAAGTGCTCCGGGCAGCCGGACCATTGGAGCTGCTCTGCCCCCAGCTTCCCCAATTCAGTCGCTGCTAAAACTGACCAGTGGC